CGGATAGCCCCCTGTATTACTTGGGATAAATTCAGGGGGTACCTCTTGAGTTAATAGCCAACAAACATTGGCGAATCAAGGGGATTAGCCGGCTTCCGCCGCCTGATACCTCTACTACTCAAGCAAGAGCGACGGCGACTGAGTAAACACCAATGTTAACTCATAGTCACTCCCTCAAACTTGGTATGGAGCCTAAAAGGTTTGAATGGTCCGCATGTTTTTTGGCAAACATTGGCTCTCAACCACTACTCCTACTGGGTTACCACTACTTGGGTTAATAGCCAACAAACATTGGCGAATCAAGGGGATCAGCCGGCCTCCGCCGCCTGGTACCTCTACTACTCAAGCTAGAGAATGACGGAAACTGAGTAACTCCCATGTTAACTCATAGTCACTCTCAAACTTAGCATGGAACCTAAAAGGTATGAGGAGTCCGCCTGTTTTTTGGTAAACAGAGGTACTCGTCTACTACTCTTACTAGGTCGTCTATACTTAACACTGCCGTTTGTAACCAAACAGGCGTACCTACTTTGGTTGGACGTCTTATTTAACGCCTGCTTCTATGCAGCCGCCAAAGCTGACGACCAGCCATCCCCTAACGAAATAAACTAAGTATCAAACTTAGTAAATTGAACAGTCGGCCTAGACAGCCTAAAGTCTAGCCTAAAAAAAAAGACAAGTAGGAAACCACGTTCCTATTTGGTTAATTATGCAGATGAAAAGACCGATTGAATAAATGTCCGACTGATCGCCTAGCCAGGAAAAAGACAATCAGTCGTCCAGGGGCATAGGCGGCGTGACTAACTATACGTACCTGTGCAACAATCGGCCATGCAAAACAGTCGGTATAGTCTACAATTGGATATCTGAATATTCAATACTTGAGTAAATTTGAAGAAAAAATATATACATTAAAAGAAAGCCGGTCATTAAAAACCGGCAAAATATTCAAAGCCCCGGCCCCCTGGCCGGGTAAATACAAACAAACGGCACGCAGGCCGTGAAAAGAATACATAAAGCTTATGAAGGGGGCAGATCTTCAATATTAGCAGCTGCCGCCTGGTCAGCACTCTTTCTGCTGGACTCGGCTTCAGCTGCATCCTTCTTTGATGCATTACCCCCACGCGGCACCAGCGCCACTACCGGCTCCTCCTCCTCTTCCAGCGCCTCGTCCTCAGCAGCCGCCAGGATCTCCTGATTATATGTATCAGAACACTGGCGGTACGTTTTCTCCCACGAGGCAAAGTCTGCATTGGGGAAGAGGCGGCCCCAGGTCATGCGCTGAATTTGGGCAGAGTCTTCCATCATCTCCCTGACCAGCTCCTTCTTCTCTTGCTCGGCCTTCTCCGAGAGCTCCTTAGCAAGACTCCTCTCCTGGGTCACCAGGCGTTCCTTAACAGCCGCCAAAGATTTCTCCATGGCTTCGTAGGAGGACATCTTATGGCGGAGAGGCCTCAGCTTGGTCTTTAGGGCGTTGATGGTCGCCTCCAGCTCGCCATTCCTCTTCTGGGCCGCCTCTAACTCATCCTTGATAGCGGCGGTAGCCTGCGCCTGATAATAAAGAATATCAACTGTCAGAACCTCATTTTGGGAAATTTGAAACATTGCCTTGTCACAGTCAGAGGCGGCCATAGCTTTTGCAGCCTTTACCTCTTTGTTCTTCTGGGCAAGCGGCTTGCGAAGGCCGTTCACTCGGAGCAGGGCCTAAGTAAAAAAGGAAACAGGCGTCAGTTTCCAAACATAAAGAAAGCAGGCGTCCTAGAATTCAAGTACTCAAAAATAGGCTAAGCATACCTCAGCAAGGACCCCTGCAATTCCGTCCAGGTCAAGGGTGCCGAAACCCCTGACCGCCTCCCTTTCGGCTGGAGGTACAGCCCTGATCATAGATTTGGCCATTTCGACCAAGTCAGGCTCCTGAGGGCCGGCTGCATCAGGCATAAACAAATGGATTAGACTTAAAACATGCAAGAAAGGTCTAAAATGTACAAGGTTAATTTCATACCTCTAGGCGGCCCAACTGGGGTTTTAGAGGATGCGGCCGGCTGTTTCTCAGCCGCCGCACGTTTCCTGGCAGAACCAGGAGAGCTCGAAACAGTCGTCCTCCGGGCCTTGGGGTCCGGCTGTTGGGAGGAAGAAGCTCTTGGAGTGCCCGTCTAAAAAAGAAGAAAAATAGTTAGTATATGCACAACTACAACTCCAACAAGTGAGAAGGGTTCAAAGCTCACCAAGGGTGCCCCCTTGTTGGGGGAGTCGGCAGACGACTGTTGCATGATTGAGGCCCGCAACATGGCCGCCGCAGTCTTTGAGGCATTTATTTTACTCATGGCGTCCGCTACAAAAACAAAATAGCAAAGTTAATAACATTCATAACAAGAATTGTGCGCAACAACAGAGTGTTCGACAGGCCGGCTACCTCTTGAGCACCGACTGCTGAGGCCACAGGCGGCCAGAAAGTACTCGTCGTAGAGCCATTTGAAGCTCGGGACGCAGTGTAGGGGCACTTGCTCTCGTACCCCTGTAGTAGAGTCGACCCTCGACTCTACCCTAAAGAGTCCTTTATCTAGGATCTCTTTCTTAGCCTTAGGGGGAACAGGCGGCATGCTGCGGCCGCCTGCAAGAAGGGGCGGATTCCTGTTCCACTTGTTCAAGCGCTTGTTCAGCTCTGTGTCTGAACTCTCAATGATGAGGAAGGTGCTCCGCCAGTCCTTCCACTTGTTTGCTTTACCTCTTGACATGAGGTAGCCCCTGTGGCTCGTCAATTGATACCAGCCGGTACCGCCTGCCTTAGGGGTCCGGCTGAGGTAGTTCATGTGGGCGAAAGCCTCGAAGTTCGGCTCCACCCCGTGTAGTTCGCACCCGGCCACATAGCCGAGTACGTTGACCCAGGAGTTCGGGGCTAACTGCCATAACCCCAACTCATACCCATCCAAAATCCGCTGAACAGCCGGATGGAGTGGGAAGCGCAGCCCACCCTTGATAGCCGCCTCGTAACAGCCAAAGCAGGCGCTATCATAGCTAGTACCAGCCGGCCAGACGACTGTGTCTTCTGGATCCGGCACGAACACTAAGAAGCCGGGGCCCATTGTGTGGTTTGCGATAAAGCTCCCCACTTTCTCTTGCATGGCCGCGATCCGGCCCCGAGGTACCTTGCAGTAGTAGGGGGTATTTTTCTCTCGGTGAGATGCGGAAGGCTCCGCCCAATCATCCCCCTTCTCAACTGCGTGAGAAAGCCTCGCCTCTTGTAGACGACTGTTTTTCTCTTCTGTGTCCAGAGAAGTATGGCCAGAAGAGCTAGACTCAGACTCGTCCTCTGACGAGTCCGAAGAGGACGACTCCTCCCTTCTCTCGGAGGGGCCCGCCTCCTGTCCGTTCAAAGGAGCAGGAGAGAAGGTAGAATTGCCGGCTTTTAAGCCGCTTTGTACCACTTCCACATCTGGCGCCTGGTCAGATGTTTCACTAATCGGCACCCTGTGGGAGGAGCCGTCTGAGTTCGATATCCTGGCAGTCTTTTTTGTCCTGGCCATCACGTTCTGCATAGACACAGATACAGTCGGACTATGTATAAAGGGCGAAGATGGGTCCGGAAAAGGGCAGGCGGCACTCCTAGTCCTAGATTCAGCCGTCCCCGGTGACCGGCTGATCACTAACCTAGGTCGTGTCGTGTGCTTCCGTGGTACCATTTCAAAAAGGAAATAAAAAACAAGAAAATTAAGAGTAAGAGAACCGACGGTTACCTGAACAAATGACGATTGATGAAGTTCGGAAAATCCTAAGCAGCCGGCTTGTCAGAACAGGCGGTAGGCAGAAAAGGTCCAAATTGTCAGAGCAAGTTCAGGGGTCCGAATGTTCTCTCACAAAGTTCTCAAGTGTGAAAATGACTGAAGTCAACACTCCCTTATATAGGCGAAATGAGAAGGCGAAGGGTCACTTCCAGAATTCGAAATTTTGGCGGGAGAATCTGTCGGCCTTTTGCCGAGTGACGCCTGTCACAGGCAACACGTGACCAGTCACGTGCCACCTGTGAGGGGCAAATGATTGAGGGATTTTGCTCCCACCAATCGGAATGCGCCACGTGGGCCAATCAGGTCCTGCCAAGTGTACCCCAGTTGGACCTCTCAGGGCTTGCCACGTGGCACGCGCTTATTCGTCCACCTTGGACCTATTATGCCATGACATATGGCATACTCCATGCCTAATGGAGAACCCGGCCACCTAGGCCCAACTTCCGAGGGAAGCCCAATCGACCCAAGGTTAACCTAAACCTAGATTGGCACGATTCCCAAGGCTATAAATACCTCTCTTAATCCTCATTAAGAGGGGGATTACAAAAAAGAGAGAATCAAGATTACACAAATCGAGTAATTAACTACTCTCACCTAGAGAGCCTAAAACATATTGATCACTCCTCCCCTAGAGGAACCAGATCTCCCACCTTTTATTTCCGCATTTATTACTCCTTAAACAAGTACTAACTTGACCGTCGGAGGCGGAGCTCCAACCATCCGGAGTCTCCGTTTGTTTTGCAGGTACAGGCGTCCGGTTCCAGTCTCGGAATTGTAACTCTCCCGCAGGACATCAGAAAACCCCGAAACAGTATCTACAGCAGCATTATAATCCTCCTCGGTTGCAGCGTCCATGATACGTTTCCATTTCCCGTTTTTGAAACTCGCACCGATCTTCTTGTTTTTGAACATACCAGTGACCCGAGCCTCCACATCTTTGTTAATGTGCCATCGACAAAGTAAGTGCGAGGTCCTTGGAAACACTTCTCTTAATGCCTCACATAGCCCAAGCTCACGGTCTGTCAAAAAAAACCGATAGTTCTTTATCATACCCAATCAACTCTCTCAGTCTCTGCAAAACCCATCGCTAGCTTGTCGTGCACTCGTTGTGCATGAACACGTAACCGACGAGGAAATTCTGATTTGTCGGTGTCACACCAACTATCTCAAAGAATGGCATCCCGTATCGGTTGGTCTTGTAAGTGGAATCCATACCGATCACATGTGGCCTGGGTACGTCTGTAGTATGTCTACCGTGACTGGGTGCACCATAAAGGCATGTTGTAAAACGCCTAGATCATCAGACATGACCCAGTAAAGATACTGACTCTGTCTCGCCAAATGTAGAAATTGCTGAATAACTCCTCTCCCATCAGACATCTCCGTTCTCAAGTCATTCCAGCAGTTGTAGATGTGTCTGATGTTTGGATGATCATCAGGAAATTGCTCTGCAATAGTCGCCATGATGTTACGCGGTGCAACCTTAGACTTCGTCATGTCACGCACAACCTTCTTCGCATCCGGGCTCAACCCACTAATTTTACGATGCCCCTCCTGATACACAATCATTGGATGGTTATGGGTCCCAGTTGCATCATTTTTTGCCCGAATCTTCCAACTATCGGTGATGAACTCGTAATATATCTTGATGTAGAAAGGACAACCATTGGCTTTGGTTTTTGTGTCCTTCCGAATTGCGTTCTCAAGATCTCTCGGCTTGCTCCTACGTCCCCGATCACATCTCAAATATCGATACGGTCGACCATCTCTGGTTTTGTTGTAAGACGATTTGACCAAAATAAATCCCAGATTTATGGCAACAACATCCGCCCATTTAACTGCATCATCAAACGTTGGAAAAAACGTGTCTGTGACAAAATTCGCACTATAATTCACACTGTCACCGCCTTCTTCAAACTCCGAATCCTACAAAAATACAAGCAAACACAAAAAACACGTCAATATTAGTATTTTAATTATAATATTAATAACAATATTTTTAAAACAACAACAACAACAACAATAATAATAATAATAATAACTAATATTAACTAATATTAACTAATATTAACTAACATCAACTAAAATTAACTAACATTAACATAAACTAATACTAAAAAAAATAACTAATAATAACAATAACAATAATAACAATTACAAACCACATTTTTTTCGCAACCCAATATATGCTCACCAATAATAATACAAAACAACAACAACAACAACAACCATAATAATAATAATAATAATAATAATAATAATAATCAATAACATACAAAAAAAAAAAAAAAATTAAATGAAAAACAGACATCCGCCCAAAAAATCCGGATCCTCCATGGAGGATCCGCCTAAGAAATCCGGATCCACCATGGAAGATCCGGAAATTCCAGGCAGATGTATACATCCAGATTGAATTTCCGGATCTTCCATGGTGGATCCGGATTTCTTAGAAGGATCCTCCATGGAGGATCCGGATTTTTCGGGCGGATGTCCCCTTGAAAAAAAAAAAATTCTACGACTTACAGATTCTTCCGACGATGCCTCTGGTGTACGATCGTTGTCGTCGTTCATCGTCCAAAACCCGTCGCTAAACCTTGATAATTTTTTTTGGTAAAAAGTTTAATATTTTGGGTGGTGGGCTCGGGAATTTTCGAGCTCGGGATTTTTGTAAGGCAAGTGGTGGGTTAAAGTGCTCGGGAATGATATTAAACTGCTCGGTAAACTATGTGACAAAGTGGTGGACCCTTGTATAGGCCAAATTAACACAAGGGCAAAACGGTAACTTCACATTAAAATGGGAGCGTCACCTTGTAAATTGGGAGCGACGAATAGCATTTCACTATCTCTCCCCTCCTTTCTCTCTCTTCATTGTATCTTTTTATTTTTCTAATAGTTGTGAGACATTTCACCCTGTCTCACAACACTCCATTTATACTATATATATATATATATGTATATATATATACATGTATATATATATATATATGTATATATATATACATGTATATATATATATATATGTATATATATATATATGTATATATATATATATACATATATATATACTAGATGAAACCCGTGCGATGCACGGTTTATTTGTATTTTTTCAAATAAAATATTTTGCTAAATATATATTTATCAAATAAACTTTGTGATATTCTCTTGCTTACTACTTGTATTTTTATTATAAAATAAATTATTAAATTTGTTTATCGTATTTAGATAAAATTTTTAATATATCAATCAATCAATCAATCAATCAAAGTCTTAATCCCACAAGTGGGGTTGGCTACATGAACCAAATTCGATTATTTCGTGTAATCATCAACAAAGATCCTCCTCCTCCATCCCTTACGATCCAATGCCTCATCTTCATGTACATCCATATACTTCATATCCTTCCTAACTCCTTCCAACCAAGTCATTTTCGGTCTCCCTTTCCCTCGTTTAACCCCTCCATGGTCCAACTCTTCCACTCTTCATACCGGTGCACCCTCGGGTCTCCGTCTTACATGCCCAAACTAACGCAGACGATTTTCCCTTAGTTTAGCTGCAATGCCTGCCACACCTACCTTCTTGCGAATGATGTCATTTCTGATTCTATCTCTTAGAGTGTTCCCGCACATCCACCTTAACATTCGCATCTCCATAACCTGCATCTTTTTAATTTGCTCCTTTTTAGAAGCCCATCTGTACCATAGAGCAACACTGGTCTTATGGCAGTCCTGTAGAATAAAAAGATAATATTTTATTTCACAATGTTTAATATGTGGTTGGTGACACCGTGCGGCAGGGTTTGCTTAGCTAGGAGTTACTTGGTTGGTCAAGGTTACTCAATCGATCAGGGGTTACTTGGTTAGTGTTTGGGTGTGTATGTATCAGCCGATAATTAATACGAAGTATAAAATTTTTTTGATCTAAAATAAATTGCAATTCTTTTTTTTTTTTTTTCATGGTCTAAAATATAACATTTTTCTATGTGACGCTCTAAAATTAATCTTACGCGGCATAATCCTATTGTGGCGTTTTAAAATTATTAATTCTATGCGGCGCTTTTTTTTCATTGGCTAAAATATAACATTTTTCTATGTGACGTTCTAAAATTAATCTTACGTGGCATAATGCTATTGTGGCGTTTTAAAATTATTAATCCTATATGGCGCTTTTTTTTATTATTATAATCCTACGTAGCGCTTTAAAACAACTTATTTTACGTGGCATAATCCAATTATAGCGTTTTAAACATATAAATCCTAAGTGGCGCTCTAATAATTTTTTAAAAATTAAAATCCTACGTGGCACTCTAAAATTTGTTATGTTGTGTAATTCACTCCATCTACGTCTCTACTTCACTATAACTCCGGTATGTCCAAAACCCATCTCCAACTTTTCTTTAATTTCAATCGGTTTTCTCCATTTATTATATTTAATCAAAAAATTTTTGAATTAATTGTTAAAAAAAAATATTTTTTGGGGTTTGAGTGGCCAATTTTGAGTTGAAATCATGGAATAATTGAATAACACTGGTAACATATTTGCGTGTTTAATGTTGAAATTTACCCATTAATTTATAATACAGAAGCACTTGAGAGAATGGATTTTAAGGATTTGGAGTTTGTTGATGATATTAGGAAGTCGTACTCAATTTCTGGTGTAACACCAAGTGGGGAGGTTTTTAGTGATGAAATTGGTAAGATTATGCACACTTTTAAGGGATCAACTTTTAAACTATGAAACTGAGTTTTGGTTTGCTTTTGGACGGAATAGGGAGGGATGATTCTCCAAACTAAGCTTAATTACGAAACTAATTACGAAAGTAGACGCGTGGCAAAACTATTTACCAAACTAAGCTTTTAGGGTAAAACGCTGTCTCGGACAGCGTTTTAACCCTGATTTTTTTTTTTTTAAAAAATAATGGGCAGTCAGCGTTTTACATGTTGACTTTAAAAAAAAATTACACTAAAAACGCTGGCTCAAGCAGCGTTTTTAATGTAATTTCTGATTTTTTTTTTTTAAGTCAACCTACTCAACCATCATCATTGAACACAACCCAAATCATGAATAACCCAGGTATGATCACGCAATTTTAAGATAACCAGATTCGAAAAATCAACATGAAAATCATAGTATAAATTTATTTTTATCAAAAATATTTAAAAATATTAGAAAAAAAATTAAGGAATTAGACCTTGGAATCGATATCTTCACTGAGAGCAAGATGGGTCCTACAGTGCTTGCAACTGTAGATCTTCCCTTCCAAATTCACCACAAATAGCTTCCCTTCTCAACAAACTCAATTTTATCTAATTTTCAGAACCCAGAAAAAACTTTCCAAAATCACAGAAAATCAATATCCTGATAAAAATAATTAAAAAGAAAAAAAACCAATTTAAAGAAGATGATGATAGCTTGTGAAAGTTGATGAGGGAATGATTCCAGAAGTATACGCAAAGAATTTGATCAAATGTAAGGTTTGAATAAAGTAAAGATGCCCGATTAAAAGATTTTTTTTTTTTTTTTTACAAAAAAAAATCAGAAATTAAGAAATTAAAAAAAAATTACACTAAAAACGCTGATCGAGTCAGCGTTTTTAGTGTAAATATTTTTTTTTATTTTCTTTTTAAAAAATCAGAAATTAAGAATTTTTTTTTAAAAAAAGTCAACATGTAAAACGCTAACTGAGGCAGCGTTTTACCCATTTTTTTTTTAAAAAAAAACAGGGAAAAAATGCTGTCCGAGACATCGTTTTACCCTAGAAGCTTAATTTGGTAAATAGTTTTGACACGCATCTACTTTCGTAATTAGTTTCTTAATTTAACTTAGTTTGGAGAATCATCCTAAGGAGTATAGGCTCCAAACGGTGAAAAATGTCAAATGTTAGACCCCAAATTTATACTTAAGTCATAAAATTAAAATGAAGACCATTCAACAAAAGTATGCAAAGGAGTACATATATTACAAGAATGATTGAGCCTTGTGACTTTATGAGTACACTTATCCATTCATTCATTCACACCAATAATTCATTTTTCCTTATACCCCAAACAAAGATAAACCAGTCATTTCATTCACAATCACTTGTTTTTGCCAAAAAAAAAAAAAAAAAAAAAAAAAAAAAAAAAAAAATCAAAATTGGAAAATAGTAGCCGGTCAAGGATGGCCATAGGCGAGACGTTTCTGTCTGCATTTCTGCAGGTGTTGTTTGAGCAGCTGTTGACTACCGGAGGAAGCCAATTCTTGAAGTTGATTGGTGGTGTTGATCTGCCGAAAACAATCAGGAAATGGAAGATACAACTTACTAGGCTGGAAGCTCTGTTGGATGATGCTGAGCTGCAGCAATTTCACAGTAAACCTGTCAAATTGTGGCTGAATGACCTCCAAGATTTAGCTTACGACATTGAAGATGTTTTGGATCATTTCGCAATCGAAGCCCAACTATATAAAAAGGCGGAGGAAGATCAAGTTAATGCAGTAGATGATCACTCAATCGCTGGGATTCTAAACAATATGGTTTGTACTGCTAACTTCTTACTTACTTACTGACTTCTTAATATCGTTATTTATTTATTGACATAATGCTAGTTAGATGACGATGATTATTATTTATTATTATTGTTATTGTTGTTGTTGTTGCTGTTGTTACTCCGTATCGCTCTTATTTTACTTACAAACTGATAAAACAAGTTCAATCTGTGGGATAACTAGACATGACAAAACTAGCAATTGGAAAACAACCAATGTTTATAATTAAGTACTCAGCACAATTAGAAAATGACCCAATCTGAACAACTCAATTGAATAAAATCCTCTTGTATAAACTTAAAGTTTATAGAGGGAAAAAGATGGTTTTCAATAACTATTGATATGCTAGTTAAAGTTAATAGAGGGAAAAAGTTAGTTTTCAATAACTATTGATATGCTAATTATAGAATTCATTGGTTAGGCGCAAACTATTCGTGCAAGTGGTTCAAGAGCTGCAAATAGTCTCTCCAGCTTGCTCAAACCTATTGATCAAGACATTCGCGACAAAATTGATGACATTACAGAGCGCTTGCAAGATATACAGGACCAGACGCATAGTTTGAGCCTCACTGCTGCACACATGTTGGAGCAGCATGTTGTGCGACAGCGGAAGCAAAGGTCGTAAACAAACAAGAAAACAATAAAGAAATTCAATGCAAACAATAAGAACAACACCAAGAATTTACGTGGTTCACTATCGATGTGATAGCTACGTCCACGGGCACCAAGATCGAATGATTTCACTATAAACTGCAAAGATTACAAAGATGATTCTTGTCTTTCTCAAGAACGGCTCTTCTCTAACCCTTTCTAACCCTAATACTAATATTAGGGAGTTTTTATATTAATCCCTAAAATAAAAGATACTTGGGCAGAAAGATAATAAAATAAGATAACTTAAAATCGCAAAATCCGCGTTCCGTATTTTTCCTTCTCCGCCCGGTCAGACCGGGCAAGGTCTGCCCGATCGGGCGCGAGAAGAAAACTCCATACGAATGCTTCAACGTATCCAACCCCCACCGCCCGGTCAGACCGGGCAATGTCCGCCCGATCGGGCGAAGGCTCGCCCGGTCGGGCGAAGGCTCGCCCGATCGGGCGCGAGAGCAGCTTCTTCAACGAATTTGCCAGGCACCTCTTCTTCTTCCGCCCGGTCAGACCGGGCAATGTCCGCCCGATCGGGCGGACAAAGCAACGAAGTACGAGTCACCTAATACTTATCAACAATCTCCACCTTGACGAGAACTCGTAGTCAGCAAACGACCCCATCAAGACATAGTGAAAAAAACATCTCAAGCCAAACCCGATGCAAGACTCATGCATAAGCCAAACATCCCGATAAGTCTTCAACCAAGACCCATCACATACTCGTCTCCAAGTATAACAACTCATAATGCTCTACCTGCATCACAAGCCCCGGGCAAGCTCCACCTTAAGGCCAACACACCTACACCAGGAGCTCCCCAACTTCGCCCCTTAGGGCCTACTACATCACGTAGTAATCAATATTTAGCAAGTCTAAGCAATGTTTAAACTTGCTAAACGGAACAGGCTTAGTGAAGAAATCAGCCGGGTTGTCAGCAGTCCCAATCTTCTTCACCTTAATCCTCTTGTCAGTACGTAAGAAATGATACCTGACATCAATGTGCTTCGTCCGATCATGGTGTACTTGATCTTTAGCTAAGCAAATCGCACTTAGACTATCACAATATACTGTAGCAAAATCCTGTGCAATACCCAGTTCACCTACTAGGCTTTTGAGCCAAATAGACTCCTTAGCTGCAGAAGTTAAAGCCATATACTCAGCTTCAGTAGTTGACAACGTAACTGATGACTGCAATGTAGACTTCCAACTAACCACAGAACCACCCAAAGTGAACACATAACCAGTCACAGACCTCCTGGTATCCACATCAGCTGCATAATCAGAATCACTGTACCCAGTGACCAAGCATTCCTTACCATTCCCGTACACAAGACCAATATCAGCTGTCCCTCTCAGGTAGCGAAAAATCCTTTTCACCCCTTGCCAGTGTTCCCTCCCAGGTCGAGCCATAAACCTGCTTACAACACTAACAGCATGCGCAATATCCGGCCTAGTACAGACCATAGCATACATCAAACAACCAACCGCGTTTGCATATGGAACTCTAGACATATAAGACAACTCCTCCTCTGATTGAGGTGACATAGACAAAGACAACTTACAACTAACAGTGGTTGGCGTACTTATAGGCTTCGATTTGTCCATCCCAAAACGAGACAAAATCTTTTCAATGTAGCTTTTCTGAGTCAAGAAAAGCTTACCTCTAGCCCGATCCCTGTAGATCTCCATACCCAAAATCTTCCTAGCTGCACCCAAGTCTTTCATGTCAAACTCCGAGTTAAGCATCTCCTTTAATCTAGCAATATCAGATTTATTCTTTGTGGCAACCAACATGTCATCAACATATAACAAAAGATAAATCATGGAACCATTATCCAGCTTACTATGATACACACAGCAATCATATGAATTCCTGTCAAAACCTTGTGAAACCATAAAAGAATCAAACCTTTTGTACCACTGTCGGGGGGATTGCTTAAGTCCATACAATGACTTTAGCAATCTGCAGGCATAGTGTTCCTTTCCAGGAACTTCGAATCCTTCGGGCTGCTTCATCAGAATCTCCTCCTCCAAATCGCCATGAAGGAAAGCCGTTTTAACATCCAACTGCTCCAGCTCAAGATCAAAATGTGCTACAATTGACAATAACACACGGATAGAAGTATGTCGAACCACAGGTGAGAATATCTCAACAAAATCAACCCCTTCTACCTGACTGAACCCCTTAGCAACTAGCCTAGCCTTAAAACGTATTTGCTCAGTTTCCGACAACCCTTCTTTCTTCTTGTAAATCCATTTACAACCCACAAGCTTCCTCCCTTCCGGTACCTTTACCAGTTCCCACACTCTGTTCTTGTAAAGAGACTGCATCTCTTCACCCATTGCGGCAAGCCATTGCGCAGACTCACTACAACTAATTGCTTGTTTATATGTGGCAGGTTCAAATGACTCTACATCATCAGCTACACTCAATGCATAACCTGTCATCGCATCAACACAGCAATTTCTTCCCTCCATCTCTTCAATCAATCTAACAGGCTTCTTGATAACTCGTTTAGGCATCTCAAGAATGGTGTCAGGTTGACTAGATGACCCCTGATTAGATTGCTCCACCTCATCCCCAGAGTTAGAATGAGTAGGAGTAATCTCAGGTTCAGGAGTACCCGGCACTGGAACATCAGCATCATCATCAATATATTGTACCCGAGGTAAATCAGCAATGGTAGACTGATGTACCTCAAGTACCCCATCTGTCTGTAATAAATTGTCTCCTTCCCTTCTCAAATCTGAAATCTCTGCATTTTTAATTGAATACATGGTGTTTTCATCGAAAGTAACATCCCTACTAAGAATGACCCGACCCTCCGAAGGTGAAAAAATTCTAAACCCCTTCACACCATCCCCGTACCCAACAAAACACCCCTTCTTGGCTCGTGGATCCAGCTTACCCTCAATAACATGATAATAAGCAACACAACCAAAAATCTTCAAATTCGAAAAATTAGGCAACTTACCACTCCAGATCTCAAACGGAATCTTGGAATCAATTCCAGAATGAGGACCCCTATTAATGACATAACAAGCTGTTAACACAGCTTCACTCCAGTACCTCCTCCCAAGCCCTGCATTAGAGAGCATGCATCGAACTCTCTCTAGCAGTGTCTGATTAACCCGTTCTGCTACACCGTTCTGCTGTGGTGTCTTCCTGACAGTATGATGCCGACCTATACCCTCATCTGCACAGAACTGATTAAACTCGTCTTTGCAAAACTCTAGCCCATTGTCCGTTCGTAGCTTCTTGATCTTCCTTCCTTGTCGATTTTCCACCAAAGCTTTCCATTGCTTGAAAACTTTGAAGGCCTCATCCTTTGACTTAAGCAACCTAAGCCATGTGTATCGGGACTTGTCATCAACAAATGACACAAAATAGTGGTAACCTCCCATACCTTCAACTCTAGATGGACCCCAGCAATCTGAATGGATGTAATCGAGCACTGCATCAGTAATGTGAGCACCCTTGCTGAACTTTGACCTGTGTTTCTTACCAAACACACAATGCTCACAAAATTCAAGGTTGGCAACCTTGACCCCGGATAGAAGACTCCTCTTGGACAATAGCTGCATCCCCTTCTCCCCCATATGACCAAGCCTCATGTGCCAAATCTTAGTCATCTCCTGGTGAGATACAGATGCGCAAACCGCAGAACTAGGCAGTGTAACACCCTCAAAAACATAGAGGGTGTTCCTTTTGATACCCTTAAGTACCAACTCAGAACCTCTGAAAATACACAGCTCCCCATCTGAAAACACACCATTGTACCCCAAGTCATCCAGGGTACCCAATGAAATCAGATTCTTTCCTAAAGCAGGAACATGCCGTACATTAGTCAAAGTTAACCTCCGCCCATCAACAGTCCTCAACCTCATGGAACCAATACTTGTGACCTTACATGGAGCATTGTTATCGACTATAACCATACCCCCATTGCGAGGTTCATATGTATCAAACCAATCTCGACGTGGACACATATGGAACGAACACCCCGAATCTAGAACCCAGTTATCAGATAAATCATCAGACCTAGCAGAACTAACTAATGCTAAATCTTCCTCTGAATTATAGCTCTCATTCGGTTTCTCTTCAACTACAGCAGCCTGGGACTTGTTTTTCCTCACCGGACAATTATTCCTAAAGTGACCCGGTTCTTTACAGTAATAACATGTTTTAGTAGTGGTTTTACTAGATCCATCCTTGCCGTTTCCAGCACCCGACCCAGCATTGTTCCCCTTGTTAAACCCCTTATTCTTTTTAGACTTTCCGGACTTAACAAACAACCCACTACCATTATCCCCATTATCACTCGTAGCTTTCATTCTGAGTTCCCTAGTATGAAGTGCTGCCTTCACTTCTTCTAAGGTTATAGAATCCTTACCAACAACAAAAGACTCTACAAAATTCTCAAAGCTAGACGGTAGAGATACAAGTAAAATCAACGCAGCATCCTCATCATCAATTTTAACATCTAAATTACGTAAATCAAGCAAAATAGAGTTAAGTTTTTTCTAGATGTTCCCGTAAGGAAGTACCTGACTGCATCCGGAGGCTAAACAACCGCTATTTCAGTAATAATTTGTTGGTCAACGACTTAGTCATATACAATGACTCCAGCTTCAGCCACAATCCAGCCGCCGTTTCCTGATCAGCCACCTCCGTGATGATTTGATCATCAAGACTAAGTAATATGGTAGAGTGTGCCTTCTCTTCCATAACTTCTAACTGCGGGTCAGTTGGTCCGTCTTCTGACTCCGAAGTAGTACTCTTTGGAGCCAACGGACGCCATATCTGCTGTTGTTTTAACAGAGCCTTCATCTTAATTTGCCATAGCCCGAAACTATTTTTCCCGGTAAACTTCTCAATTCTTATTGTTGAATCTCCTGCCATTGTTATCTTCAAGAAACTCTCCAAGGATTGAACCTAAGCTCTTGATACCAATTGTTGTGCGACAGCGGAAGCAAAGGTCGTAAACAAACAAGAAAACAATAAAGAAATTCAATGCAAACAATAAGAACAACACCAAGAATTTACGTGGTTCACTATCGATGTGATAGCTACGTCCACGGACACCAAGATCGAATGATTTCACTATAAACTGCAAAGATTACAAAGATGATTCTTGTCTTTCTCAAGAACGGCTCTTCTCTAACCCTTTCTAACCCTAATACTAATATTAGGGAGTTTTTATATTAATCCCTAAAATAAAAGATACTTGGGCAGAAAGATAATAAAATAAGATAACTTAAAATCGCAAAATCCGCGTTCCGTATTTTTCCTTCTCCGCCCGGTCAGACCGGGCAAGGTCTGCCCGATCGGGCGCGAGAAGAAAACTCCATACGAATGCTTCAACGTATCCAACCCCCACCGCCCGGTCAGACCGGGCAATGTCCGCCCGATCGGGCGAAGGCTCGCCCGATCGGGCGCGAGAGCAGCTTCTTCAACGAATTTGCCAGGCACCTCTTCTTCTTCCGCCCGGTCAGACCGGGCAATGTCCGCCCGATCGGGCGGACAAAGCAACGAAGTACGAGTCACCTAATACTTATCAACACAGCAGGCCCTCCAAACAGATACACTTCGATGCCAGAGAGAATCCACTTCTTTGGTTGGCAAGGTTGTTGGAAGGGATGAGCAGAAAAAGGAGATAATTACACTGCTACTGAAAGATGATCAGAGTAGTGAAGGTTATGTTGTGATTCCTATTGTTGGAACGGGTGGCATTGGGAAGACCATCCTGGCTCAATATGTATACAACGACGAACAGAAGTATGTATACAGAGATGAGCAACTCTATGCATATAACGATGAGCAGCAGAAGTGTAATTTTGATCTCAAGGCATGGGTGTGTGTCTCAGATGTGTTCGATGTCAAACGTGTGACAATAGATATAATTAACTCGGCCTCCCAGAGCAATTTCGACTATAGCAATTTGGATCAGGCACAAGTGAAACTGCAGGAAGTGCTAAAAGGCAAAAAATTCTTCATTGTTCTTGATGATATTTGGAGCGAGGAATATGATGATTGGTACAGGCTGCAGGAACCTTTCCGACACGGTGCAAAAGGAAGCAGAGTGATAACGACAACCAGAATTGAGAGTATTGTAATGATGATGGTTAATAATCCAACTCAACGTAATATCATCAAGTTAGAAAGTTTGTCAAACGATGATTGTTGGCTTATATTTCAGCAGCATGCAAAAGTAGGTTTTGACCTCGCTGAGATGCGGGATAATGTCATAGAAAAGATTAATGGATTGCCTTTGGCCGCAAAAGCTCTAGGAGGTCTCCTTAAAAGTATTCCAGACAAGAGCCAACGCCGAAAGATATTAGAGAGCAATGTTTGGGGTGAGAAGAGCAGAGTTTTACCGGTTTTAAGGTTGAGTTACCATCATATGCCATCTCATTTGAAGCAAGTCTTTGCTTACTGTTCAGCATTTCCAAAAGACTACAAGTTCAAGGAGATGAAAATTGTCTTACTATGGATGGCTCAGGGCTTCATACCAGAAACCCAAAATGAAAGAATGGAAGATACGGGTCACAAGTACTTCAATGATTTGGTATCAAGGTCGTTACTTGAAAAAAGTATGTCTGATGCAGGAAAGTTCATCATGCATGACCTCATACATGATGTGGCTCAATTGGCTGCAAGTGGCGTCTGTTATGTAATGGATGTTGTAGATACACAGAGAAATCTTATAAGAACTCGCCATTTGTTTCACCCTGGTCATGTTCAAACATTGGGAAATCAAATCATGGTTCCTCAGTTGCGAACTTTTCTGTGCAACAACGTTTATAATCTGGACTTCATCCAAAGAATGCATTATGTACGAGTCCTACGCCTACATTCAAGCGAAACTAAAGTTCTGCCAGATTGTATTGGTGATTTAAAACACTTACGCTACCTTAGTCTCGAAATCTTTAGCATAAAAATGTTGCCACAATCAATAAAAAATCTTTGGAACCTCCAAACACTGTGCCTGGAAGGCTGTCGTAGCCTTAAGAAGATTCCATATATTGGATCTATGAGAAAACTTCGCCACCTGTCCATTGAGGATACCTCTTTACAGGAGATGTCGTTTGGAGTTGGGGAATTAACAAACCTGCAGACTTTAGACAAATTTTTGCTAGCAGCTGATGGTGGATCCAAGGTAAGGGAATTGAGGATGTTGAATCATCTCCATGGAAAATTAATTATTCGGGGGCTAGAAAATGTGACAGAAGTCGTGGATGCACATGAAGCTCAATTGCATAAAAAAGAGAGTCTAGATGAGTTGTATCTGGAATGGGGAGCTTGTATGAATGAGGTTTATGACAAGACTAAGAGAGAGGTGGTTGAGAAGTTGCACCCTCACACTTCCATCAAGAAGTGTGAGTTGCGTGGGTACATGGGGTCTACCTTCCCAAGTTGGTTGGGAGATCCTTCTTTCAATAACATGGCTCACATAAGGCTGAATAATTGTGAGAAATGTGAATGGTTGCCTCCACTAGGGCAGCTACCCTCATTGAAGAGTCTTTGGATTGAACGTATAAATGGTATTAAGGAGGTAGGCCTTGAATTTTATGGGCATTGCTCAACTCCATTTCCGTCTTTGAAGACTCTACTTTTATCTGGTTTGGAATTATGGGAGAAGTGGATGCACCCACCAGTTGGTATCAACAAGGCATTCCCTGTCCTTGAAGAGCTTTCCATTGATTATTGTCTGTTATTGAAAGGTAATCTACCTCCTCATTTGCCTTCTCTTAGAACGCTGGATATCAATGCATGTAGAAAACTGCAATCCTTGGAGTTGAAGAATTCGTCTTCCTCAGCTTCTCGTCTGTTGAATGCTGTGAGTCTATGGTCTCTATTGATCATATTCCCTTGACTCTGCAACTGTTGAATATCAATTGTTGTGAACAACTAGGGTCTGTAGAATTTGCTGAACAGCCTACAAATTTTTCTCCTAGAAGTGAAGACGGGAAAACCCCAAAGAGTGAAGAAAACATAGGAGTTTTCCTAAAGGCTTCATTGGAACTTCCTCTTCTCACTAGTTTGAAAATAGAAAGTTGCCCAAGTCTAAGATCATTACAACAAAATCTACTTCTCCCGGCCTTACAAACACTTGAGTTATGGGATTGCAAGTCTATGGAAAGGCTTCCTGGTCAATTGCTCAATTTCACCTCCCTCGAACGAGTATTTATTCTTGAATGCCCCAAAATCCATAGCTTAGCGGAAGGTGGCTTACCCAGAAACTTGATATTCCTTGAAATAGAAGAAGTGAACATAAAGCAGGCAGTAACAGAGTGGAAATTGCACCTCCTTCATTCACTTAAAGCTCTTACGCTTAAAAATGTAGGCATCTCTGCAGACTCAGTAGAGTGTATTCTGTGCCCACATCTTTCTCTGCCCTCTTCCTTGTGTCTCTTAGAAATCAGGGGTTTCCAATATTTGAGAATCATATCCAATGGCAACACCCTTCCCAACCTCACTCGTCTTGATGTTATGGATTGCCCAAGGCTTGAATCATTGCTTAGCAATTTTACCTCGCTTACAGATTTAATAACTGAAAATTGCCCAAAATTCCACAACTTTTCAGAGGGAGGTTTACCCACAAACCTGCGGTCTCTTTCAATCTCTGATACCAACATAGACAAACCAATAAAAGAGTGGGGATTGCACCTTCTTACTTCCCTTCATTCTATTTCTCTTACACTTGTAAATGTTAGCAGCTCCTTAGATTGCATTAGCGGTTCTGACCTTCCCTCTTCCCTGCGTACATTACATATAAAGGGATTCCAAAATCTGAAAACAATATGCTGTTCCACTCTTCCTGACTTGTCCTCTATCAATGTCCTCTCTTGCCCCCGATTCGAATCATTTGGTGACCATGGCCTTCCTCCAAGCATTAAAAGCATTTATATTAAAGAGTGTGAGATGATACAGCAACATTTGAGAAGTGATCCCAGTGGCCGTATACTTACAGAGAATGGAAGATTATCGTCGCCTCTGTCTCAAAGTCAACCGAGCTCTGCCCACTCAAGTAAGTTCACTTAAATAATGCTATACATACATCTTAAATGTTTACATCAGCTTAAATTTTAATTGATACAAACAATCGTAACTATCAATGGAACTTCACTCAAGCAAAAAAGCAGTAAGTGATTTTGACGAATTTGACCATTTCAAGCTAGTTCTATATGCCTTTTTTGTTATTTTTTTTTTGGCATCCTCAAACAGATGATTAGTATAGCATTCTAGAAAAGTGCAGGAACATTTACATTATAATGATGCAAATAATAGTGGTGGGAGGGAGAACTTGATCAATCTACTAGCTATACTTATTTACATATCTTTCACAACATACTACTATCAATACTCTAGATCGGGTTTATATTTCATTTCATTGTGGAAGGTAATGGATATTGTAGTCACATACCTTTTACAAAGTATTATTGATACAAATTTACTTTTTTAGATGTTTTTTAGATGAGTTATATAAAATAATAGGGAAATACAAAGTATTATTTTTATGTTGGACATATTATAGAATAAAAGTGCTGTTCTGATATATTGTAATAATATCAGGTACATGACTTTCAAATGCAGCTGTTTGCTCATGTTATGGTGCTAAGAAACTAAGGCTAACAGTAGTAATAGTGTTGATAAGTATTAGGTGACTCGTACTTCGTTGCTTTGTCCGCCCGATCGGGCGGACATTGCCCGGTCTGACCGGGCGGAAGAAGAAGAGGTGCCTGGCAAATTCGTTGAAGAAGCTGCTCTCGCGCCCGATCGGGCGAGCCTTCGCCCGACCGGGCGAGCCTTCGCCCGATCGGGCGGACATTGCCCGGTCTGACCGGGCGGTGGGGGTTGGATACGTTGAAGCATTCGTATGGAGTTTTCTTCTCGCGCCCGATCGGGCAGACCTTGCCCGGTCTGACCGGGCGGAGAAGGAAAAATACGGAACGCGGATTTTGCGATTTTAAGTTATCTTATTTTATTATCTTTCTGCCCAAGTATCTTTTATTTTAGGGATTAATATAAAAACTCCCTAATATTAGTATTAGGGTTAGAAGGGGGTTAGAGGAGAGCCGTTCTTGAGAAAGACAAGAATCATCTTTGTAATCTTTGCCAGTTTATAGTGAAATCATTCGATCTTGGTGCCCGTGGACGTAGCTATCACATCGATAGTGAACCACGTAAATTCTTGGTGTTGTTCTTATTGTTTGCATTGAATTTCTTTATTGTTTTCTTGTTTGTTTACGACCTTTGCTTCCGCTGTCGCACAACAATTGGTATCAAGAGCTTAGGTTCAATCCTTGGAGAGTTTCTTGAAGATAACAATGGCAGGAGATTCAACAATAAGAATTGAGAAGTTTACCGGGAAAAATAGTTTCGGGCTATGGCAAATTAAGATGAAGGCTCTGTTAAAACAACAGCAGATATGGCGTCCGTTGGCTCCAAAGAGTACTACTTCGGAGTCAGAAGACGGACCGACTGACCCGCAGTTAGAAGTTATGGAAGAGAAGGCACACTCTACCATATTACTTAGTCTTGATGATCAAATCATCACGGAGGTGGCTGATCAGGAAACGGCGGCTGGATTGTGGCTGAAGCTGGAGTCATTGTATATGACTAAGTCGTTGACCAACAAATTATTACTGAAACAGCGGTTGTTTAGCCTCCGGATGCAGTCAGGTACTTCCTTACGGGAACATCTAGAAAAACTTAACTCTATTTTGCTTGATTTACGTAATTTAGATGTTAAAATTGATGATGAGGATGCTGCGTTGATTTTACTTGTATCTCTACCGTCTAGCTTTGAGAATTTTGTAGAGTCTTTTGTTGTTGGTAAGGATTCTATAACCTTAGAAGAAGTGAAGGCAGCACTTCATACTAGGGAACTCAGAATGAAAGCTACGAGTGATAATGGGGATAATGGTAGTGGGTTGTTTGTTAAGTCCGGAAAGTCTAAAAAGAATAAGGGGTTTAACAAGGGGAACAATGCTGGGTCGGGTGCTGGAAACGGCAAGGATGGATCTAGTAAAACCACTACTAAAACATGTTATTACTGTAAAGAACCGGGTCACTTTAGGAATAATTGTCCGGTGAGGAAAAACAAGTCCCAGGCTGCTGTAGTTGAAGAGAAACCGAATGAGAGCTATAATTCAGAGGAAGATTTAGCATTAGTTAGTTCTGCTAGGTCTGATGATTTATCTGATAACTGGGTTCTAGATTCGGGGTGTTCGTTCCATATGTGTCCACGTCGAGATTGGTTTGATACATATGAACCTCGCAATGGGGGTATGGTTATAGTCGGTAACAATGCTCCATGTAAGGTCACAAGTATTGGTTCCATGAGGTTGAGGACTGTTGATGGGCGGAGGTTAACTTTGACTAATGTACGGCATGTTCCTGCTTTAGGAAAGAATCTGATTTCATTGGGTACCCTGGATGACTTGGGGTACAATGGTGTGTTTTCAGATGGGGAGCTGTGTATTTTCAGAGGTTCTGAGTTGGTACTTAAGGGTATCAAAAGGAACACCCTCTATGTTTTTGAGGGTGTTACACTGCCTAGTTCTGCGGTTTGCGCATCTGTATCTCACCAGGAGATGACTAAGATTTGGCACATGAGGCTTGGTCATATGGGGGAGAAGGGGATGCAGCTATTGTCCAAGAGGGGTCTTCTATCCGGGGTCAAGGTTGCCAACCTTGAATTTTGTGAGCATTGTGTGTTTGGTAAGAAACACAGGTCAAAGTTCAGCAAGGGTGCTCACATTACTGATGCAGTGCTCGATTACATCCATTCAGATTGCTGGGGTCCATCTAGAGTTGAAGGTATGGGAGGTTACCACTATTTTGTGTCATTTGTTGATGACAAGTCCCGATACACATGGCTTAGGTTGCTTAAGTCAAAGGATGAGGCCTTCAAAGTTTTCAAGCAATGGAAAGCTTTGGTGGAAAATCGACAAGGAAGGAAGATCAAGAAGCTACGAACGGACAATGGGCTAGAGTTTTGCAAAGACGAGTTTAATCAGTTCTGTGCAGATGAGGGTATAGGTCGGCATCATACTATCAGGAAGGTACCACAGCAGAACGGTGTAGCAGAACGGGTTAATCAGACACTGCTAGAGAGAGTTCGATGCATGCTCTCTAATGCAGGGCTTGGGAGGAGGTACTGGAGTGAAGCTGTGTTAACAGCTTGTTATGTCATTAATAGGGGTCCTCATTCTGGAATTGATTCCAAGATTCCGTTTGAGATCTGGAGTGGTAAGTTGCCTAATTTTTCGAATTTGAAGATTTTTGGTTGTGTTGCTTATTATCATGTTATTGAGGGTAAGCTGGATCCACGAGCCAAGAAGGGGTGTTTTGTTGGGTACGGGGATGGTGTGAAGGGGTTTAGAATTTTTTCACCTTCGGAGGGTCGGGTCATTCTTAGTAGGGATGTTACTTTCGATGAAAACACCATGTATTCAATTAAAAATGCAGAGATTTCAGATTTGAGAAGGGAAGGAGACAATTTATTACAGACAGATGGGGTACTTGAGGTACATCAGTCTACCATTGCTGATTTACCTCGGGTACAATAAATTGATGATGATGCTGATGTTCCAGTGCCGGGTACTCCTGAACCTGAGATTACTCCTACTCATTCTAACTCTGGGGATGAGGTGGAGCAATCTAATCAGGGGTCATCTAGTCAACCTGACACCATTCTTGAGATGCCTAAACGAGTTATCAAGAAGCCTGTTAGATTGATTGAAGAGATGGAGGGAAGAAATTGCTGTGTTGATGAGATGACAGGTTATGCATTGAGTGTAGCTGATGATGTAGAGTCATTTGAACCTGCCACATATAAACAAGCAATTAGTTGTAGTGAGTCTGCGCAATGGCTTGCCGCAATGGGTGAAGAGATGCAGTCTCTTTACAAGAACAGAGTGTGGGAACTGGTAAAGGTACCGGAAGGGAGGAAGCTTGTGGGTTGTAAATGGATTTACAAGAAGAAAGAAGGGTTGTCGGAAACTGAGCAGATACGTTTTAAGGCTAGGCTAGTTGCTAAGGGGTTCAGTCAGGTAGAAGGGGTTGATTTTGTTGAGATATTCTCACCTGTGGTTCGACATACTTCTATCCGTGTGTTATTGTCAATTGTAGCACATTTTGATCTTGAGCTGGAGCAGTTGGATGTTAAAACGGCTTTCCTTCATGGCGATTTGGAGGAGGAGATTCTGATGAAGCAGCCCGAAGGATTCGAAGTTCCTGGAAAGGAACACTATGCCTGCAGATTGCTAAAGTCATTGTATGGACTTAAGCAATCCCCCCGACAGTGGTACAAAAGGTTTGATTCTTTTATGGTTTCACAAGGTTTTGACAGGAATTCATATGATTGCTGTGTGTATCATAGTAAGCTGGATAATGGTTCCATGATTTATCTTTTGTTATATGTTGATGACATGTTGGTTGCCACAAAGAATAAATCTGATATTGCTAGATTAAAGGAGATGCTTAACTCGGAGTTTGACATGAAAGACTTGGGTGCAGCTAGGAAGATTTTGGGTATGGAGATCTACAGGGATCGGGCTAGAGGTAAGCTTTTCTTGACTCAGAAAAGCTACATTGAAAAGATTTTGTCTCGTTTTGGGATGGACAAATCGAAGCCTATAAGTACGCCAACCACTGTTAGTTGTAAGTTGTCTTTGTCTATGTCACCTCAATCAGAGGAGGAGTTGTCTTATATGTCTAGAGTTCCATATGCAAACGCGGTTGGTTGTTTGATGTATGCTATGGTCTGTACTAGGCCGGATATTGCGCATGCTGTTAGTGTTGTAAGCAGGTTTATGGCTCGACCTGGGAGGGAACACTGGCAAGGGGTGAAAAGGATTTTTCGCTACCTGAGAGGGACAGCTGATATTGGTCTTGTGTACGGGAATGGTAAGGAATGCTTGGTCACTGGGTACAGTGATTCTGATTATGCAGCTGATGTGGATACCAGGAGGTCTGTGACTGGTTATGTGTTCACTTTGGGTGGTTCTGTGGTTAGTTGGAAGTCTACATTGCAGTCATCAGTTACGTTGTCAACTACTGAAGCTGAGTATATGGCTTTAACTTCTGCAGCTAAGGAGTCTATTTGGCTCAAAGGCCTAGTAGGTGAACTGGGTATTGCACAGGATTTTGCTACAGTATATTGTGATAGTCTAAGTGCGATTTGCTTAGCTAAAGATCAAGTACACCATGATCGGACGAAGCACATTGATGTCAGGTATCATTTCTTACGTACTGACAAGAGGATTAAGGTGAAGAAGATTGGGACTGCTGACAACCCGGCTGATTTCTTCACTAAGCCTGTTCCGTTTAGCAAGTTTAAACATTGCTTAGACTTGCTAAATATTGATTACTACGTGATGTAGTAGGCCCTGAGGGGCGAAGTTGGGGAGCTCCTGGTGTAGGTGTGTTGGCCTTAAGGTGGAGCTTGCCCGGGGCTTGTGATGCAGGTGGAGCATTATGAGTTGTTATACTTGGAGACGAGTATGTGATGGGTCTTGGTTGAAGACTTATCGGGATGTTTGGCTTATGCATGAGTCTTGCATCGGGTTTGGCTTGAGATGTTTTTTTTTCACTATGTCTTGATGGGGTCGTTTGCTGACTACGAGTTCTCGTCAAGGTGGAGATTGTTGATAAGTATTAGGTGACTCGTACTTCGTTGCTTTGTCCGCCCGATCGGGCGGACATTGCCCGGTCTGACCGGGCGGAAGAAGAAGAGGTGCCTGGCAAATTCGTTGAAGAAGCTGCTCTCGCGCCCGATCGGGCGAGCCTTCGCCCGACCGGGCGGTGGGGGTTGGATACGTTGAAGCATTCGTATGGAGTTTTCTTCTCGCGCCCGATCGGGCAGACCTTGCCCGGTCTGACCGGGCGGAGAAGGAAAAATACGGAACGCGGATTTTGCGATTTTAAGTTATCTTATTTTATTATCTTTCTGCCCAAGTATCTTTTATTTTAGGGATTAATATAAAAACTCCCTAATATTAGTATTAGGGTTAGAAGGGGGTTAGAGGAGAGCCGTTCTTGAGAAAGACAAGAATCATCTTTGTAATCTTTGCCAGTTTATAGTGAAATCATTCGATCTTGGTGCCCGTGGACGTAGCTATCACATCGATAGTGAACCACGTAAATTCTTGGTGTTGTTCTTATTGTTTGCATTGAATTTCTTTATTGTTTTCTTGTTTGTTTACGACCTTTGCTTCCGCTGTCGCACAACAAATAGCATCTACAATTATAAGGTTTTGGAAAAGCTTGCCTTGTTTTCAATTTTAATGGTGATATGAAAAACTGTTACCTGATTCCAAAAGTTTTTTCTTAAACGACATTTCTTTTTAGCTGATTACTAATTCAGATATTCCGTGCAGTGGCTTAATTTCTAAACTAGGCTGATCTTGAAATTTCACCATACATGCATTCTCTTGAGGCTTGGACATTGTATTGGTTAAGAGATACAGAGTATGTTGTTTAGGAACATTATTACCTTTGTGCTTACTTTTATTTTTCCTTTCTTAAACAGATGATTATTAGTGTCCTCAAACCGAAAAGTGGAGGAACATTATGTATAGCAACACTACTTTTGTTTTCTTTTCCTGAATATTGTAAATAATAGTGGCGGGAGGCCATTGGGAGGGAGAACATGATCAATCAACTAGCTGTACATATTTTAATGTCTTTTACAACACACTACTATTTAACTTCAAATCGGATTTAAATCTTGTGTCTTTGTTGAAATTAATGAGCATTGTCGTCATACATACATTTTCTATGTAATTTGATAGTTTCAAATTTACCTTTTTAGATGTTTTTCAGATGAGCTAAAAAATAAAAACATTAATATTGTGTTGAAAAAGTTACAGAAATATGAGCAATGTTCTGATATATTGTAATATCAGGTACCTGACCTTCAAATGCAACTGTTTGCTCATGTTATGGTGCTAAGAACTCAAGAAGCTAAGAAGCCTAACAGTAGTAATAACATCTACCATTTTAAGGTAATATATTGGAAAAGCTTGCCTTATTTTTATTTTCAGTTTAAGATATATTTTCGAGTGCTGTTGATGGTGATTTGAAGAATTATGTTACCTGATTTGAATATATTGGTATTAAGCCCGCATTTTAATACCACCTGCCATCCCTAGCTACCATGAAGCTTCTTTTATATTTGGTAATTACAACATGAAGCATTTTCTTCCCTTGGAAATTAATCTAAATATGCCATATTTTTAAAGAATTGGTTTTTACTGAAATAAATACAAAGCCATTCTAAAAATCTGCACAATTGATGCTAACCATTAACACACATTAGCTCTATAAGGCTAGTGTCTAATTTACCGTGTTATATAATTAGTTTATTTTGCAATTGTTTCTATCATGATTGGAAGACCAAGGCTGTTATAATGTACTCTCAGTCCAATTGAAACATCCAAGGACACTATTTGTGAGAACCAACCACCTTAAATTTGTCTTTATCATTATAGATGATGATCTGATGAAATGCTGTGCATACAACTAGCTTTTGGTGGGTTTTCCTGATTTGGGTTAGCTTGCCTGGCATAGAAAATCCACAGGACCTTGAATATGTGTCTTTTAGGTTCTAACTATAGCTTGGTTTGGGCACAGTTCAGCTTCAACAAAGACTAAAAAAAATTAAGGATTTGTTTTTCAATGTGATGAATGTGCCATTTATCTGTTCTCGAGTTTTGGTAGTTCAATAACAACCAGGTTTTCTTCTTTAGGTTTGTGTTATTCCAGAGGTATCTCTAATAACAAAAGCTCTTTGCTTATTTATTGTCTTGATTGGTTGATAATTCCAAACTAGTATATTCTGATGCTAATTTTGTAGTCACTCGTAGCTTATTAATATTACTCTTTTTTTTGCTGTGTTGGTAAAACTTCCTACTGCTTTTGTTTCCCACCTTTAGTAATCTTGTGAGTGGTTGAACGGCCACTGGAAATTTAGTTTTCATTCATGTACCCAACTTAATAGTACGTCCCTAAATGATGCTTGTTATTCACTTAGTTGCTACCTAACTGTTAGTCTTTGATCTCATGCATACAATAAAACACATCAATGATCTAACTTTTTTTTATAGTTGACTGTTAATTTTAGCCAATGACTGCGCTAGAAGCTACACATGAAGGATGCAATTTTCAGTCGCATTGAACTATTGTATCCTATAATCTGTTAGGGAATGAAGGGCAATGGAGTTGACTTCTGCATATTGATAGTAGATGGTTATAGGCATTAAGGTATTATATGATCTCCACTTTCTTTGTTAATTTTCTAAATTTTACAAAGTATATATAGTGGTGGTTCCAGAAATTTTTTGTTATGGGGTTCGGACTTGCTAAACACATATTTTGCATATGAATGAAATCAAATAACATAATTTAAAATACATTACAATTGATAATTTGGGTGTGCACATTTGTAATACAAGTGCAAAATAATAGAAAATTGTAATTGAACTTGACAAGTCTCCAAATTTTGGAACGATTATATATCTATAATCTCTATAAATCTTAACCAGAAAAAAATAAATTTAAATATTCAATGTAATCATATTTCATGGTTAAGGTATTTTGGATAATGGGTAATTACTAATTGGGGTATTAAGTATGAAAAAGCCAAAGCAACAAAGTACAAGCCAAAAAAAAAACAAGAAAGAGAAAGAAAAAAAAAAAACTTTTGGATAACTAGTAACTCACGCTATAAGCCAATAAGTATGTAAAAGCGAAAAAAAAAAAAGGGTAAAAGCACAAAATTAATAAAAAGAAAAATAACAACATAATGTCAGGAGGAGTCGAACCCGCGACCTTCAAGTAAACCTAATGAACTTCAACCGCTGGGCCGCGTTAGAAATTCAACACATTTTGTGACATTATATTTTATTTATTTAAACTTTATAGCAAAGAAAACTAATCAGAATTTTCCGGATCTAGTATAGGTTCAGTGGGTTCACCACTGAGTATACATTTTAAGTACAATTGGAGAGTTAAAAAAAGGTTGAGATGCATTATACGATGTTGGATTTGTTGTAGGAGGGAGTACTTGTTCAACAAAGTAGCATAAAGATCTATACATAACTTTCATGAGATACAGTTAAATTTCAGAAATGGAAAAATCTTTATGGCATTTTAATAACTTGCAGAAAATATTTAATACAAAAAAGTGCAATATTGTGGTATCAGGTACATACTCTTCAAGTGCAACTGTCTGCTCAGTCATAGTGTCAAGACTCAAGAAGCTATTGAGAAGCTCAACCATGGTAATAACATCTACCAAAGCTTCCCTTTAATTTAACAGGAATGTGTTGAATAATGCTTGATTAATCTTTGACTTCTGAAACCAATGCTTTTGTTCTTTCAATTGCATATCTCCTCAGTTTGAAGGTGGTTTATGCTTGTGATTGTCCTTCAATGAAATTCAACTGTCTTTAATCATCTGGCTGCTGGTAAAGACAATATAATTTTCAGTTATCTTTCTTACGTTACACAAAAGGGCTGCAACCCTGCAAACAGGAAGGTTCTCTACTTTTAGGCAATTATAACACAGTATTTTTTTCTCCTCAGGAAATCAATATAGTGAAGTTCCTGTGATCAAGAACGTGAAGTGAAGGCCAAACTTTTGCAAACGATGGAAGCACGGTTTTCTACTGAAATCAGATAGTACAAAGCATTCTCAAGATCTGGACTTTGATTATAGCAATCATCAGACATAAACTCTATAAGGTTAGACTACCTGATTTATGGTTATTAATTTATCTTGTAGTTGTTTCTATCATGAATTTTAAATTTAGGCTATTATAATGTCTCACATTCTCAGTTCAATGCCAACATCCAAGGACACTCGGGTTCATCAATGAAGATCTGACATCTGATGAGCTGTTTTGCTGCTGATGATGATGATGGCTTGCGTTACATCATTAAACGACCATGAAATCATGATTTTTGGATTCTGACTATAGCTTGGTCTGGGGAAACATGAATGGAGGTTTATTATTGCCTTGAATTGTTGTGTATTGATTTCTTCATCTGTACCTACTCATTTTGTTAATTTTCACTTTTGATTTGGGGACAAGTCATCTAATTAGTACAGTGGTTCATAAAAGTAGTACGTAAAGGTAAAATTTGACTACTTTTAGCCTTTAAACATGATGATGGGGGATTTATTTTTCCACAATATTACCCAATATTATCAACATTAAATCATACTTTAGTGTTTATTTGATTATTGTACTATAATACACATTTTTATAGGCATCTTGATATTCAAGATTCGAAGTGGAATGGTGTTGAGTGGTAGTTGGCTCCAATCCTTTTATTTGGCAAATACTATAATCGAAAGTTTAAATTCCACCACCTAATATTATGCTAGTATATGTCTCAAAGCAACTTTAAGCTTGAAGAATAGTATACATACTGCATAAAAAAGTACTGCAGATGCCAAAATGATCATTTCTGAAGGAATCATATAGTATCAATTGAGATATCACACTAGATTATATATACTTTTTAGATACCCATACTCTTCTAGTATTTCTTCCTCTGATGCTTTTTTTAGAAAATCCGTCACTCGGTATCAAATCAATTAAGCCCAAAATATAGTAGATGTTAACTACATACACAAGTAAGCAGTTTTACCTCACAGATGCTTTCACTGCAGGAAAACTGAAGAAAGACTGGAGTCCGGAGGCCGGACGTCGTATATTGTTTCATAGACTGGAACTTACATTCTGTTCATTCTAGAAATGCAGTACTCTGAAATCAAGAAAATAAAGAGAAATAAAAGACTTGAATAATAGACAAAGTAGGAAAGACACTGAAAAACACATTGAAAAAAAGTGCATAATTGGGATGTATGATAGTCACATATTCACATGGTATCACCTTATCATTACAGGGACTGCAAAAGACTAGCAAAAACGGAGATGAGTAATGCACGATAGAGTGTGACGAAGAGGATCCCTTTCCATTCGACGTTTCAGCACAGGACACTGAACAACCCATAATTCTTGAAGTTCAGGAGGAAGACAATTGTCAACAAAACATTCAAGTTTTGGACATCCCCTAACATAGAGGGAAGTGAGATTTAGAATACTCAAGCAAGATGCTGATTTCATATTAATGAAACCACTGATGGCTAATCCGGTCAATGATGAGGGCAGACGAATATCCTCATTTGGGAAGGAGTATATTGAATTTGAAGAGCACCCAATATCGGATATTGAGAGCTTTTCAAGAGTATTAAGGTTGTGCAACTCCCATTCTTGCATTGGTTGTTCAATGTTGAGTCCATCCATGTAGAGTGAAAGCAAGTTCATGGGTAGACCGCCTTTTGGAAAGTAGTGGATTTTTGGACAGTTTGTAAGAATCAGGTCTTGGAGGGAAGTGAAGTTATGCATTTGATTTGGGAGGGACTCTAGGTTTCGACAAACTGATATCAGAAGATTTCGTAGGCCAGGGAGAACAAGATCTTCCGGAAATGAGATGAGATAGGGACATTCACTTATTGTTAACTTGGTGAGGTTAGCAAGTTTTGATGGACTCAAATCTTCCTCAGATAGTGAAAGATCAGAAGAAGAAATATTTCCTCTTTCTGTTAATCTAAAGTGGGAAAAGAACTATGAGCTTCAAGGGTTTTGAGGCGATCTTTACTCAACAATGTTAACTGAGATTGGCAATTGACAACCTCCAGAACCTCCAGAGTAAGTTTTTCATCATAAGAAGAATATGATTCCCTGAATTCCACGAACTGTAGTTTCTGGCAACTAGAGATAACTAATTGCCGAAGGGTCAAAGGTAGCTGATCAACCATGACAAGGGATGAACAATCATCTATTATCAACTTTTAGAGTCGAAGGAGGCTTGGAAGAGAGGCATACAGTTGCTTGCAACGTTGTATCTCAAGTGTGTGTAGCAAAGGGAGACATGAAGGTAAAGATTGCTGTGGAGAGGAACAATCCTTGATTGAAAGCTCTTGAAGGCAAGAGAATCCCCTGTTATCAGCTGATGACTGTAACCAACTCTCCCAAGAAGTCATAGACCTAAACCTCAGAGTTCTTAATGTCGGAAATGGATTTGAACAACCAACACCATGAAAATCATAACCTACGACTTTAAGACCACGCATTTCTTGAACCTCAAGCTCCTTCAATGATGGCAGCTTCCCTAGTGATGGTAAAGATTCATATCTCTCACAACCTACTAGCTTTATGATAACCATCTTAGTAAAAGAAGGGTCTCCCAACCATCTTGGGAACGCCACACCCTTGTAGTTCCGCAAAGTTAACACTTTGATAGATTTGTGAGGCTCCAACTGATCAAGCACATCTATTCTAGTGTTGTCATCAACCCCGTTAATAAAGTTTCCCCAATCCCATACCATCTCTAGCTCATGAAGACCTGATTTCTGATGCAGCCTTGCTTCTCTTGCGTCATTGGAGCTTAACACATTTTCTAAGCCAGTTATAGTTAGCTTTCCCCTAAGATGATTCAAATTCTTCAAATCTCTTATAATGGGTGCATTTGCTCCTATGATAAAATTGTTCAATGTTTGCAGGTTCGTCAGATTCCCAATCCTCAACGGCATCTCACGAACAGAGGAGCCATCAATATCCACATGGCGAAGGTTGATTAAGCATCTCATATTTTCCAACAGCTTTTGAAGTTTGTCACAACCTTTCAACAGCAGAGTTTGGAGATTAACAAGGTTGCTTAAGGAATCAGGCAATTCTTCAATATTATTGTATGAGAGATTGAGAAGCCGTAAGAGCTTCAGATCGCCTATGGATTCTGGAAATATTGTAAATTCCATGTGAGGTAGCCGTAGCACCCTCATGCATTGAAACATTCCTATAAGATCAAGTACTCGATTTGAAGAACCAGAAAATATATGCTTGTCAAAATGAGCAAAAGTACGAAAGTGGCTGACCTTTAAGGAAAACATATCATCGCATCTGTCAGGCTCATCTAGTTTAGTGAAGGATATATGTCGAGCTCTACAAGAGGCCTTCGACCAATCTTTATTAACTGAACAATCCTTTATTGCTAAGCATAATTTACCTGCAACCTCTCGAGCCAAATCACTTTGTAGGCTGTGCATTTTGAAATATTCTGATCCCTTTATGCTCGGTTCAAAAAATGATCTTGATACTAGATCATGAAAATAATCATGGCCTATGTCTTCCATTTGCTTGTTTCCTCCATTTTCGGGTAAAAATCCTTCAGCCATCCACAATAAGATGACATCCTTCTCTGTAAATACATGATCATATGGAAAAATGGAGCAATAAGAATAACACCGTTTCAGATGCGATGGAAGGTCATGAAAACTCAACTCCAATACCTCTAATACCCTGCTCTCGCTCATCCTCAAAGTATTATAATGAAGCGTCTCTTGCCACTCATCCTCCTCTACTTTAGACCTCAAAAGGCCTCCAAGAGCTTTCGCTACCATGGGTAGGCCTCTGCACTTTCTTGTCATATCATCTCTCATTAAGCTAAAATTTGGGCTTAAAGAAATACCAGCATCATCAAATGCATTTTGTACAATTATACGCCAACAATCATCATCTGAGAGACCCTCCAACAAAATCATACTATTCAGCTGTGGATTCATGACCCTGGCAACTTTCTGGCTTCTTGTAGTAGCCACAACTCTACTTCCCTTCGCTCCTGCTCTTAATGGGGTCCGTAACCTATCCCAATCACTATACTTCTCATTCCATATGTCATCAAGTACGATCAAGAATCGTCTACCTGTTAGCACTTTCTATAATCGCACTTGAGCTTGATCAAGATCACAAAAAGTGTTGCTTTCACCAGTGATTGAATTAATAATTGATGTTGTTATTCTTTTAGCATCAAACACTTGAGATACATAAACCCATGCCTTTAAAGAAAACACATTCACTTCCTCATCATTGTAGATGAGCTGAGCAAGAGTCGTCTTACCAATGCCTCCTATTCCAACAATAGGAATTACAACATAGTTATTACCAGTCATTGAGCTCTCATCATTCAGTAGTCGACTTATGGTCTCTTTTCTGTCACCTTCCCGTCCATAAACAAATGGCTCACATAACAAAGAAGTTGATTCCCGCCAGCTTTTCCATTCTCGTTCTGCTCTTGGAGGTATAACTTGTTGCTGCATCACATGTACAGAAAGTCCTAAGCCCTTAGTCTGGCTCAAAATTTCTTTCAACTGCTGATTAATCTCTTCTATCTTCGCTGTTAAATCTTGGCCCGAGTTAAACATGAATGACAGATGCTCCACAGCTTTTGATCCACTAACAACAATGCTTTGCACCTGTCAGCTTTTGATCCAATTACAGTGCAGCAAGGAAACTTGAACATTAGTAAAACTCATGCATTACTGTAAAATTTGAGATAGTTAATGAATTTGCGTACATTATATAATACTGAATTACTCGATAATAAACTCATTACGAAAGAATTAACTGTCAATTTGATACTCGACAATTATTTAAGTAGCCAATAAGCCAAATACCCTCCCCCATGGCCCCATACAAGTCACACTCACATAAAATTTTCATCACACCATCTACCCCACTATGTACTGGCCTACTAGGTATGTATCTAATATCTATACTCGTTTAAGTGGATATAAATCTAATCGTTCCTCTATATCTTGATCCATTTAATTAAAATTTCTATACCCCTACAACAATCCCACCTACCTACTCCTACCCAATACCCGCTACCTATAATGGGTATGTATCTAACACCTTGAAATTTGATGATTTAAGATACAATTAGGCAAATTATGTTTTTTTATTTTTTATTTTTTTTTATTTTTTTTTGGAATAATAGACAATTATGCTTAGATAGAACCAAACTGGTAAAATCGGTCCAAATTCCAAACCAAACCAACTGGGACTGATGTATACCTTTTTACGTTAAACCATGATAATCTTCGTGGTTTGTTATTTGTATATACTTTTATTACTTGTTCAATTCACAAATAATCTTCTTATTATGTTTGGACTTGCATATTAAGAGATTAGTAGGGTGAAGTAATGTGTCAAGAAAAATATCAACGTCATGTGTATTAAAAATAAAAAATTATGTGGAAGACTAATTAAGACTAATTATGTGGAAGACTACCAAAGTAAGCAATATTGTACAAAGTGGAGGACTTAACAAACCATATTATTGTTAGGTGAACTAGCCAAATTGGGGTCGTTATTCTTCAAAACACGGCCGTGCACATCTTCCTTGATCATCAACTCATAAATATGAGCTTGTGTAGCAAATGCATCCAACACATCCTCTAAATCATAAGCCAAGTCTTGAAGATCCTGCATCCATGACTTTACACCATTATTACTACTATCAAGTTGCTTCTGCCCGGCATCGCTTAGTACCGCCTCTATCATTCTATGTTGCTTCTCCCATTGCTTTATGGTTTTTTCGTTGTATTTCGCCTCCCTTTATTAACTTCATAAACATTGTAACTCCTGGTGACAGCATCTTCTCAAACAATACTTGCAAAAATGCTGAAAGAAAAGTTTCTCCTATAGCCATTTTATATATATATATATATATATATATATATATATATATATATATATATATATATATATATATATATATATATGGGTAATGCTATACATAGCCCTTAGGGCTATATATAAGCATTGAATTTACTCTTGGAAAATGTATAAAGTTAGGAATTCATGACAAAAACACGCGCAAATCGGTGTAATTAGTGTGTTTTTGTTATGATTTTCTAAATTTAAACAATTTTCAAGAGTAAATTAAATGCTTATATGTAGCCCTTAGGGCTATGTATAGCATTTTCATATATATATATATATATATATATATATATATATATATATATATATATATATATATATATATATATATATATATATATATATATATATATATATATATACTTTAATGTTAGAAATTCAATTGAGGCGTTCTTTGATGGTTGATAGTGGGCCAAGTGGGGTGTAACACTATTATTTGAGTAGAATTGTCAAGAGTCATCAAGACCCCGTGGTTTGGGCGAGTCAACAGTCAAGCTTTAACATTAATTTTATCCACCCACCCATAATCCGTCCTCATCTTTCTTTCTTAGCGTAAATTAAAAATTATACTACGTAATTTCCATCTCTTTAAGATTGTCACATTGGTTTTTAGGTCAATATCAAATAAATTATCATATTTTCATTTTAGTTGTTATGATCCCAACAATTCCTCTTTGTAACTCACAAAAACAAAATAAAAAAAAAAAAAAAAAAATCGACCCACTTTGCATAATAACTTTTTATCTTAACATGGAGAGAGTGTTTCAAAAGTAAATATTATTTTTTTAAGTTGAGGAAAGTGAAACTAGATGTATGATCATTTGGTTGAGCGTAGAAAAGTTTATTTCTTTTAATTTTAAGTTCCCATGGAGTTTACTTCTTAGAAAATGAGTGAAATTTATGTATATAGTCATGCTAGTGGATGCTAGTAGAAATGGCAACGGATCGGATGCGGCTAAATCCGAATCTGATTCGTTTAGTAAACGAACCATGGACTCGAATGTGAACCCGATTCGTTTAGTAAATGAACCCTGGACTCGAATCCGAAAAATCCGAATCCGATCCATTTATTCGGACCTCTGAAATGATCCGCTTTTTATTTTTATTTTTATTTTTTTATTTTTTTATTTTTTTTTTGGGTCATGTGTGATATACTATAATTGCTTGTATTATCATACTCAATGAAGTATAAACATAACATATTTCAATTATACACTAAGTTACATAACAAAATTTTGTTACAAAACAAACAAGTAATTGTCCCAAGTTATAAACCATATATGCTTATACTCTTGGACTCGGTCGGACTTTGCATAAGGTCCAAGTCCGATCCGTCTTCTATTCGGATTTGGATTCGAACTAATTTTAAACGGATTCGGATCAGATTTATTTTCTTCGAATCAGATTCGAATTGAACTCGGATTAAATTGCCATCCCTAAATGCTACTGATCTATTATAAGTGATTTTTATATATAAAAAAACATAATTAATCTTCCGTAATACTAAAATTGTACCAAAGAATCAACAACACACATCGGATTTTTTAATAATTAATTTTGAATAGATATCAGTTGACATGACACTATATATATAATAATTAGCCAATAACTTAATAATCAAACGAATGGGAAAGATAAAGGATTTACTTGGTTACTACGTACTACAATAGTACAATGTAGTGGAGAAACCTCTAATGATCATTGTGAAATGAAAGATAGAGGGTAACAGTACTCGGTAATAAGTTGTAGGTGGAAGCACAGGATTAGGTTATATACTCTATTAGTGTATGACACTAGTGCAATTTAAGTTGATTCCTGGAATTAGGCTTTTTTTTTTTACGTTGGTCTTTTTAATTACATGTTCATATTAATCCTTATAAAGAACAAATGACAAAGATACTAATTGGAGAAGCGCAGGAAACTAAACTAGACATCAAAGAAAACTAAATTGCCTCTCTTGTATGGAATAATGCCTTGCCTTGGGGTCGAATTGAGCTAGGAAGGCCTTTTATCTTCTCGTGAAAAAGAATGTTTAACTCTTTAATATCGTTATTTACCCTAGTTACTTAATAGTGCCAAACCTCCCAATAGGACACTTAATAAAGAATAATGGGTACCAATATTTTACGTCAATAATTCATTTCTTCCCATCTTTAACCCTTAAAGTAGGAGAACCATTCAAGTCATTTACAAATCACAATCACTTGTTATCTGAATTTCCAACTCTCGTTTACAATATTTCTCCACTTGTTTCCACATTATAAATCCCCAAAACTAAGAGAACCATTCATTTCATTCACAATCACTTGTTATCTGAATTTAATTTCCATCTCTCATCTGTGATATTTCTCCACTTCTTTCCACTTTATTAACACCCAAAACTAATTAAGAGAGCCATTCATTTTATTCATAATCTCTCGTTCTCTGTTATCCAACTCTCTGCAGTTTTCAACTTCATTTCCCCCCAAAAAAAAATACCTTGGGGTTACAGTGTAGATTTTTGAAAATGGGTGGACACGGCCTGGAAAAGTGAATACTTTAGAGGTACTGTGTAGAAAAACCCAAAAACAAATGTTATTGTATAAGACATTGTTGAATTCGTTATAATGTACGTTTATTTTATAAAATTTCACATTATGATTTTACTAACATATGATTGGAGTACTAAATAAATTAATATTAAAATAAATACGATCAAAGTATAATCAAATTAATAAATTAAATACACCAATTTAAAATCAGACCATATCTTTTTATTTATGAAAACAAGTTCGGCTTATAGTAAAATGAAGAAAAGAATTCAACAAAAATGCTCGTACATAAAGTAATACAAGTAATTGGCCCTTGTGAGTACCCACATTTTACATCAAATAATAATTCACTTCTCCACTTCTTTCCACATTTCATTCACAATCACACGTTTTCTGTATTTCCAACTATTCTCATCTATACTCCATTATCTTTCTGCTGTTTTTAACTTGATTTCCCAAAAAAAAAAAAGCAAGTATGGCAGTAGTAGAGATTATTACTGTAAAAATAGGTTTAAAAGTTCGGTTTCGGTTCGGTTTAAAATCGGTTAGGTTTGAAATCGGGTCGGTTTGAAATCGGTTTAAATGTCTTACGGGTTGTTTCAGTTCGATTTAAATAATTATCGGTTCGATTCGATTTCGGTTTATTCTTTAACGGTTTAAATTCGGTTCGGGTTGTAAACGGTTCGGTACAGACGGGTTGCGGTTTGTTAAAAGCTCGGTGTAAACGGTTTTTATCCGGCCGGTTTAAATTCGGTTCGGTGCAACGGGTTGCGGTTTGTTAATGGTTCGGTGTAAACGGTTTTATCCCGGTTCAAACGGTTTCGGGTTAGAAACAGTTCGGTTTTTTTTTTTGTTCAGTTTTATTTTAGTTCGGTTTATAACTGATTCGGTTCGTTAACGGGTTCGTTTCTTCTACGATTTAACATTATTCGGATTGGTTTTATTTCAAGTTTACTAAATTACGGTTTGGGTCTGCTTTTGATTTAAAAAAATTGGTTTTTTATCAAGCCGTTTGAATTCGGGCAATTAAACTATTTTGGTTTGAAATTTGATACTACTTTCTAACTTTTTGTTGGTTAACAAGTTTTATATCAAGCCGAGACTTCATCAATTCATATTGAGGCATCATATTATATGCAAATTCTCATTAATTTTATAAGATTTTGCAATTTACTTTCTGTCTCTCAACTTAATGATGATTTACAAACTATTGTCCAATTTGATTCTAATGGTTGTGCTATACAGGACCAAACGAAGGAGCTGATTGGAACGAGAACTAAGAGAGATGGACTATGCTATTTTAGCACACCGAAGTTTGTGTCACGCATAGAAGCTACATCAAATTTGGAGTTATGGCATCGGCGTCTTGGTCATCCTTCCGAAAAAGTAGTTAAGTTGATTCCTCATGTTCGTAGTAATAAAGATCATTTATACATTGGCTGTGAAGTATGTATGTATGCTAAACATTCGAGAAATAAATTTCCTTTGAGTGACAATAAAGCTTCTAGAATATTTGAGAAAATTCATTTAGATTTGTGGGGTCCATATCGACATGCTTCGTCATGTGGAGCTCATTATTTTTTAACTATAGTTGATGTTTCTCAAGAGCAGTATGGATCTATTTGTTAGTAGATAAATTGGAGGTTTTTCGAATGTTTATGTCCTTTGTTGCTATGGTCGACCGATAATTTTCCTAAACAATTAAAGTGGTCCAAAGTTACAATGAAACCGAGTTTAATTGCTTGCTTGAATATTTTAGAGCCACAGGAATTTTATTCCAAACATCATGTGCCGGTACCCCTCAACAAAATGGTCGTGTTGAAAGAAAGCATAAACATATCTTGAATGTAGGACGGGATTTGCGTATCAAGCTAAATAACCTATTTACTTTTGGTGTTACGTGCATTTCTGTGTGGCACAAAGTGTATGTAATCTGTATTGGACGGTTGCTTTGTCTTCGGGTGAAAGTAGGACAACAATTAATTTAAATAAGATTTTTACTTGTTTGGTTGTTTTTAATCATACATCCATTAATTAATCTTTGAATTTTGAGGGGACATAGAATCATGACATAATAAACATTTGATTGGATAAGGTATTTAAGTACGTAGTACTTTCGAAATTTTCTTCATAAGGTGTTATAAAATTTCATTAATGTCATCTAATGTATTGTAAATCACTTATTATTTGATACACTTATGTTTAATATTGTATGAACATTGATCAATCTCATACACAATAAATTCAACTCAGAAGTCTCAACCATATTAACCAAAGTCTAATCAAATTTCATTACTATGTTAAATT